CTTAGTTCTAACTGTAATACTAATGCACAATTTTTACTAAAAAAATAAAAAATTACATATACACACATACATACACACATCTCAAGTGAGCAGCCAGTGCAGTTCACCCATATTCTATACTGTCTGTACACAAATAATTCCTTTTAACACCATGTGGGGAAATAATAACTGCTGCTTTTTCTACACACACGTAAGGCCCAGAAAGAACATCGACTGACCACATAAATCTCAGCTTGTGTATTTAACTATTTGTATGATCTCCATGTCCAAAACCTGCATGACTCGTCCGCAGCTCTACTGGAGACTGCGTTGCAGATCGTCATTGTTGACACGGCTGACCATCCCTCGAATAATTCAAAACAATTCGGTCTGAGCTGCCAACATTAACAAAGTCGGGCTTGGACGGTCCTCTGTTTATAAAAGACTTGCACGTAAGTTTCCTGCAGTGACTGGGAAGGGAGATTTCCTCCGGCTGCCACATTTTTCGGGTGCCCGTTCTCTTCAGAGAATGAGGGATGGAAACGTGTGTCTCCACCACATAGCCTCTCCCCTACACCTCTGGGAGCATGAGCCACTCCTGGGAAGACTGTGTTTTGTCAGTACCTTGCGATGGAAAGAGAAAGAATAGTCTGTATAAAAAGAAATGAATTTCCAGAACATTCTAGTAAACCACTTTCCTTCCCTGCTCCATTGTCGACTTCCCCATGTATCAGACACTATTGAGCACTCTTCTTAAAATCCAGACAATGAAAAGACTAGAAAGTGCACTGACCTTTCTTGCCAGCTGAATGCACATTTCCCAACTCAGTCTTGCTTTGCCAACCTGACCCTGGATGAGTCTCTCCCCCTACCACCCACAAATCTAAATGGGCCTGTAAAAAAATCATTGCCGATTTCCAGTACCGTTTTTCTAATTGCTGACAATAGTTCCATCCTCTCCTCCCACCTTTTATTTTTACAAGACATCTGTCCCTCTTTCAAAATATAGCAGCCCAGCATAAGGCAAAAGTCCCAGATTCAAGTGACTTTTCACCTAGGAATATAACCTAATGGTTGTATCTGATAAACTCCATGTACAAAGCCCGATGCACATGCTCTCTGCTGAAGCTTCAAGGCCTGGAAATTATTTCTGAGAAACTGAAAATCTTAATGAAACTGTAAGGAAACCCACTAACTTCTGTCCAGAATATGAGTTTGAAGAAAAAACATGACTGAGGAGGGGAGATGCAGAGCTGGAGGCTGAACTACCTTAAGAAGAAATTCAGGAGGCATCTCAAGAGCCTGGGATGCTTGCAGTGCTGGCTGTGTACCTGCTAACTGGTGACTGGAGGATTTTTCTTAGTCCTCTGTCCTTCCTTGTCTTGATCACAATTCTGTATTTACCAGGCGTGAAGGAGAACCAGAGTCCAGACTCCCTTTGCTATAAACTCGGGTGACTTTCATTTCTAAAGGTTCCCAGGTTGGTCTATGGAGCTCACGCTGCTTTTCCTCTTATTGGCTTGGATCTTGTGGGTAATTGATTTAAAGGACTTAACTGACACCTTATGGCTGGAATCCATTTTAATCTCTAAATTGACCACTCTTCTCAATTGAATTTAAAAATGAAGAGGCTTGATGTTTCAGACTGGAATAGCGAGGAGTCTTCTAACTGTATGTAATACTAATGCACAATTTTCATAAAATAATCAAAAAAAGATGAAAAATAAAATTACTTGCAATCCCTCTACCCAGAAATTACCATCATTTTATGTTATGGTGTATTTTCTTCTGGCCTTTACTCATGAAAATTAATTTTGCTATCCCAGTATTGGCTCTATACAAGTACTGCTGGCAGTGTACACCTTAGCAAGTTTGTGTCTCATGGATTTAAACTTCAAAATGTAGCAAGGTATACATGTTCATCAAGATAAAATAAAACAGAAAAGTATTTAATGTGTGTTATAGAAAGATGTTCTAATGGGCAAATATGTGATAAAATCTAACCCTCCAGCTATTACAAATGAAGTCACTCTTGAGCTATATCACTAGGGTCTATGACCCCAGTAGTGTGCAGGGGTGAATTTCTTTGTCTCAAAAATATCTTCACATTTCTCGGGAAATGCAAACCCGGGAACACTCCCTCAGCAGGTTCAACATGAAGAGCAGCAACCTTCCCTCAGCAAAATGCTGGAGAAGAACCGGTCCGTTCCCTGGGGCCGGAGCCTCCTGCGGACCTTTCTCTGACAGCTGCCTGTGCTCGGGGGCAGGATTCGCTCCTGTCTTAGGAAGTAAACTGAGCTTGAGGTGAGTCATTAGGGAAGCTCTTAGAGGGCACCTGATCTGAAAGCCAGTCTTAGCCCCTCCTACACTGTAGTCCTTAGGTGGCCTGGCAAACCCTCTGCTCCAAGACTTACTTCCTGGTAAGTCGGGGCTTGTTCTGCCACTGCTGCATTCTTTTCAGGACCCCCTGTCAGGGCTGCTTTCTGCAAGCTGAGTCAGGCTTTTCTGTGTGGGTCCCTCTGTTCCCAAAGCAGCCCCGCATGGACACTCCCATTGCCCCTCCGCCTCCCATTTTTCACCAACCAGGAAAGACGGAGCTGCTCTTAGAGCAGCCAATCCCAGCACGGGTGACTCAGCTCCGCCCTCAGCAGGCGGAATGGTTAATTTCATGAGTCTGCTCGGCCAGGCCAAGGTACCCAGGCATTTGGTCAAGCGCTGTTCTGGATGTGGCTGAAAAGTTATTTTTTAGATGAGATGAACATTTAAATCTGTGGACTTTAAGTAAAGGAGTGGGCTCCATTCAATCAGCTGAAGGGCTCAAGATAAAAAAGACTCTAGGAAGAGGAAATTCTGCCTCCAGATAGCAGCAGCACCAACTCCCTCCATACTGGGGCCTGCTGGCCTGGCCTCCAGATGTCTGACTCACCAGCCCCCACATCATGCGAGCCAACTGTAACACAGATCTCTCTCTCCCTCCCTCTCCTTTGCTGTTTTATATTATATATTATTATTATAAACATGTCATCTATAATTATAATATATAATACATATTAGACATTAAATCGTATATATGAATACTATATAATATATAGCACATACCTAGATTACGTATGCAATATATGTAATACACATACGTATGCGTTATCTATTACATGCATAATTGTACTGCATATACATATGTAAATATACACACAGTTGACGTGATCTCCACATGTATACATTAGGTAAGTGATGCATAACCAACATACCCTACTGATTGTTTCCCTGGAGAAGCTAACTACTAACCTCATCAGTAATTGATCAGTGGCAGCGCTTCTTGCCACTCCTTTGTCCTCTCAAACCCCCAGTACAATTCCCACTGTTACAGAGGGCCCAGAGAGTCAGTTGGACTTGCTGAGGACAGACGTCACAAATACTATCATATTCTTTTCACTGGTGATAAAAACAGGGTTTATGATGTGTGAAAGACTTCCCTCAGGTCCAGGTCCACCACTGGAGAGTGTGACTCCCCCAGGCCAGGGCTCCTCCTCATCAAGGGGCCTGAGCTGTGGCCATCCCTGTGTACCAGGACAGCCCTGGAAGCAATGCCCCCTGTATTCCCATGTGCCTGTGCCTGGCTTACTGACATTCCTGAGGCCACTCTGCCCTTCTCCACTGGCCTCATCACCTGCAGGGCCATGCCATTGTCTGTGAGAGGCTGGGGAGTCCAAAGGTTAGAGCTATGCTCTTGGAAAATGGCTTCAATATTATTACTTGAAATTATTTACAAAGGCCATGAATACTTCAAGGAATATCCTTTTTGCGAGGGAAGAAGAAAACACTGGGCCCCTAGAAAGCTTTGGTTCATGTGCTCTGGGCAGCGTAGCTGGAGTTCTTCATTATTCCCTGCCCCTCCCTCTCTCCCCAGGCATTTCACCTCACTCTCATTCCTGAGTGGAAATAAAAGCTGCAAGAAAACTTTAGGCAAAGTCACTTGCAAAGGCAATACCTATGAATATCCTTGTTCTCACAGATTCAATCACTAATGCAAAACCCAAGGAGCTTCAGAAATTTAAATCAGACTGTGCACAATTAATGACTAGAAACTCCAATTTCATGTTAATTGGTTTTAATTAAAATTTTTCCCTATATGTCTAAAAGGGCTTATTGTCAGTGCCCCGGCAATCTAATCTCTGAATTCCCTGCATCATACGCGTTACCTTTGAAGTTGAACAATAAAGCAAATCTCTGAACAGCACCCGAATGGTCCATTAGGGAGCCAGGAGGAAGCTGGTAATAAGGCAAGGAGAAGGGACACAGAAAACACATGCACTGTCAAGTCACATGCAAAGATGACACCCAAGAGGCAGGAGGCTCATTTCTCATCGCAACAAAACATAAAGCATATGCCCAAACTTCCCAAGGTGACTGCTATAACGTGATTGGAGCATCAGGAATTTAAAAATTGGAGGGTTGCAAATGAAACCACTTCCATGTCTATCAAGCAAGGTAATGCCCCACCTTTAAAGGCAGTAAGGAGGGGAGCATCTGTTTCTGGTTGTCTGGGTAGCAGAGAGCTACTTGGTTAACGTTAAAAGATGAAGAAATCTGTTCATTTGGGGATGAGAAGCACTTCTGCCAAACCACAAGTCAACGGCATGAAAAGGAATTGGTCAGGAAACTCAACCATCTCTTCTGCCTTCATGAACATTCCACAAAACACCATACACAGATAAAAGATGCTAATTCACCTCTCCAAGCAACCTAATACACTCTCAACTACACTTCTATTTTATAAGCTGCATTATTTGTGAAATTTTCACTCATATCCATTTTGAGGAAGGGCTGTTAAAAGCATCCATTTAAGTCTCTCCTATAATTGAGAACGTTAACAGCCAATTTTCTCCAACACTGACACCACTCTGCCTGTCTTCAGTAGCAAAAATATTCGTCTTTGCCTCTAATCAAAGCTCTCACTCACGGTTTATATGCATTCATTTTGTTTTATTGTATTTTTGAGTGTTCCATCAACGCAGCCTTACCCGTGGAACTAGTTTTCCCTTGAGCACTCAAGTAATGATTCTTATAAGGTAACAGCTGTGGGCCGATAGATCCTATATATTTCTGAGGAAGCTACAGTTGTTTGGAAGGTCAGCCGTCAAATGGAGCTCATTTTTCACTGGAGACAAAGGCAGTGCCAAGGTCTTTGCAATTTGTATGGAATTAGGCTAGTTTTGTAGAAGTGAAAACATGAACACTGAAGAGTTTTATTTTAAAAAAAAATATGGTAGAGGATTTATGTCTTTAAAAATTCATGAAACATTGATCAAGCAGTAAAGTTTTAATGAGATTTGTAAAACAAATGATAAAGCAAACATTATGGCTGTATGCAGGGAAAAAAATCCTTAAGATCTTATTATTCCAAAATTTACTATTTTCTACACTAGCATTATTATAATTAATGAGGTTAGACCTGTAAGATTAGAGATAAAAGTAACAGAGAGGTAATAAAATAATACTTTTTACTGTGTGTTTGTTAATTCAGGAAAATTCAAAGAAACTTGACATTATTTCCATTAACAGTTTGAAGCTACCTCAACACATTGAAAAGGTGCATATTACAAATGCTGCTGGATTATGGACACTTTTTTTTCTTTGAATACGTGATTTTGTTCGATTGGTTTTTTTTAATTACTCTCACCTTCCTAACCTCCAATATATGTCATTTCCCCCAGATGATCAACGTTTCTTAACTGGCATGATTCTATGCAAAGCTATCTCATGGGCGATGCCTTTATACACATGCATATATATTCATCTAAGATGCTTTCATTTAAATCAATGCTTTACAAAAATAGAAAACTTTCCTCTGCATTTGGCTTTTCTCACTTAACATGATATCCTGGAATTTCTTTATACCAACTGGTGTAGAACCCCTTCTTTTTAATATCTGTGTCATATTGTATGGAAGGGAAGTATTATCAAATGCCAGTTCCCCAAAATACTATCAAAGCAACCTGTTGATCAGACAAAGTGAGTTTACTGCTAGTGGCATGAAGGGGAGAGCACTGACTCCACAGAGCCATGGTAGTGTCTTCAGGGAGGAAAGAGCAAAATCAGTAGTCAGACTCAGACTACTGAGTCTGAAATTTGACTGAAGGTGATTCTTTCAATTTGGAGACTTGGTTAGCTTGGGTACAGATCATAAAACAATAATTTCCTATTTTTTCATTCTTGTAAAATTCCTATTTTTCAGCAGTTTTCTTTGGATATACTTGACAAGTTTTGTACATATTTAACATGGACAACTTGGCCAGGCATAGTAGTTCATGCCGGCAATCCCAGCACTTTGGGAGGCCAATAGAGATGGATCACCTGAGATCAGGAGTTCAAGACCAGTCTGGCCAACATGGTGAATCCCTGTCTCTACTAAAAACACAAAAATTAGCTGGGCGTGGTGGCATGTGCCTGAATCCCAGCTACTCGGGAGGCTGAGGCCGGAGAATTGCCCGAGTCCAGGAGGGGGAGGTTGCAGTGAGCTGAGATCTCACGACGGCACTCCACCCTAGGTGACAGAGCGAAACTCCATCTAAAAATAAAGTAAAAAGACAACTTGATAAGTTGTGATGTGTATACACCCACGGAGCCATCAGCACAATCAAGCTAGTGAACACCCCCACAACCCCCACAGTTTCCTCACGTTCGTTTGTAATCGTTCCCTTTCTGCCCTCCTCTCACTCTATCCCATGTACCCACTGATCTGCTTTTCCTAACAATACATTCTAGAATTTTAGACCATGACATCACAGAATATGCATTCTTTTTGTCTGGTATCTTTCACTTAGCATAATTATTTTGAGATTCGTCTACACTGCATGTATCAACAGTGCACTGACTTTCCTGTTGAAAAAGTATTCCATGGTATGAATATACCACAATGTGCTTATCCATCCATCGCCTGAAGGGCATTTGATTGTTTCCACTTTTGGCTGCTACTAATAAAGCTGCTAATGTTCGTGCACAAGTTTTCGTAAAAACAGATGCTTTCATTTCTGTTGGATATACACCCAGAAGCAGAATGGCTGAAAATGGTTGATTTTTATCTTCTGAAGAAACTGCCCAAGTGTTTTCCAAAGTTGAATCACTTTACATTCCCAATGGCAGTGTATAAAATTTCTATCCTCACCAATACTTGGCATAATCAATCTTTCTAATTTTAGCCTCAATGACAGGTGTGTAGTAACTTCACATTGTGGTACTAATTTCATTTCTTTAGTGACTAATGATGTTGGACGTAACGCTGTAGTAGAGTGTGTTCTGTGAATGTTACCCAGGCCATGTTGAGTGACAGTGCTGTTCATGTCTGCTGTATCTTCATTGATTTTCTGTGAACTTGTTATATTAACTCTGAGAAATGGCCACTAAAAGTTTTTACTATAATTTCTTCTTGCAGTTCCTTTAGTTATGTCTTTTTCTTTTTCAGACACATTGTCTTGCTCTGTTGCCCAGGCCGCAGTGCAGTGGCACGATCTTAGCTCACTGTAACCTCTGCCTCCCAGGTTCAAGTGATTCTCCTGCCTCAGACTCCTGAGTAGTTGGGATTACAGGTGCATGCCACCAAGCCAGGCTAGTTTTTGTATTTTTTAGTAGACACGGGGTTTCACCATGTTGGCCAGGCTGGTTTCAAACTCCTGACCTGCAGCTTTCTTTTGACCAATCTTAGCATGGGATATCTTTTTGCATACTTACGTATTTAATCCATTTGGGCCTTTAAGTTTTAAGTGTGTTTCTTGTAGACAACCTATAACTGGGCCTTGCTTTTTTAGCCAATTTGACAATCTCTGCCTCTTAATTGAGGTATTTAAACTATTTGTAATCAATGTGATTATTGATATAACTAGGTTTTAAGTGATCATTTTTCCATTTATTTCTTGTTACATCTGTTCGTTATTGTCCTTTCCCTCCTTTTCTGCCTTCTTTTGAATTAATCGAATTTTTTAAATAATTACATTTATCTCCTTTTGTTAGCTCTTTAGCTTTAACTCTTTGTGGTATTACTTTAGTGGTTGCTTCAGGATTTATAGTAAACATCTTTAATTTATCACCATCTACTTTCAACTAATATTATACCATTGCGTGTATAATATAAAAAACTTACAAGTTGTATATTTCTCTCCCTCCCTGATCCTGTTTTTTTGTTTTTTGTTTTTTGTTTTTTTTGAGACAAAAATCTCTCTCTGTCACCAGGCTGCAGTGCAGTGGCTTGATTTCAGCTTACTGCAACCTCTGCCTCCTGGGTTCAAGCAATTCTCCTGGCTCAGCCTCCCAAGTAGCTAGGACTACAGGTGTGCACAACCGTACCCAGCTTTTTTTTTTTTTTTTTAAAGTAGAGATGGGATTTCACCATGTTGACCAGGATGGTCTCGATCTCCTGACCTTATGATCTTCCCACCTTGGCCTCCCAAAGTCCTGGGTGAGCCACCATGCCTGGCCCCTTCCCTGAGTTTATGCTATTGTTTTAATACATTTTACTTTTTTATGTTGTAAACCCCACAATGCTGATTTGTGTTTAAACTGTTAAGTATCTTTTAAAGAGATACCACTAATAAAAATTCTTATATAACTATCCATGCTTCTACCATTCTCTGTGCTCTTCAATGATACCATCTGGTATCATTTTCCTTCTACCTTAAAGCTCTTCCTTTAAATTTCTTGTAAGATGGGTTTGCAGGTGGTAAATTCTTTCAGGTGCTGATGTCTGAAAATATTTTTATATCAACTGTTTTTTTTTTTTTTTTTTTTTTTTGAGATGGAGTTTCACTCTTGTTACCCAGGCTGGAGTACAATGGTACAATCTCGGCTCACTGCAACCTCCGCCTCCTGGGTTCAGGCAATTCTCCTGCCTCAGCCTCCTGAGTAGCTTCACCTTAGTTTTTGAAAGCTCTTTCTGCTGGCATAGACTTCCAAATTATCAGGGCTTTTTTTTCTTTCTTTTAGTCCTTTAAAGGTGCTGCTCCACTGTTTTGTCATTGGTATTGTTTGCAATGAGAAATCTGGTCCTGTCATAGCTTTGTTCTGTAAATATGTTTTTTTTTTCTGGCTGCTTCTAAGGTTTTATTTTTATCATTGCATTTAAGCAATTTTTACTTATTTTTTTATTTCAATAGGTTTTTGGGGAACAGTTCATGTTTGGTTACATGGATAAGCCCGTTAGTGCTGATTTCTGAGATATTGGTGCACCTGTGATCCAAGCAGTAAACATTCTACCTGATGTGAAGTCTTTTATCCCCCACCCACCTCCACTCTTTCCCCTGAGTCTCCAAAGTCCTTTGTACCATTCTTATGCCTTTGTGTCTTCATACCTTAGCTCCCACTTGTAAGTGAGAACATATGATGTTTCTCATTCCTGAGTTTCTTTCTACATCTTCCCTGTCTCTACTAAACTTTTTGAAAACATGGAATGTTATAACTTTTTAATATATATATACATATATATACACCGCATTTTCTTTATCAACTCATTGATTGATGAGCATTTCGGCTGGCTCCATATTTCTGCAAATGCAAATTGTGCTGCTATAAATATGCATCTGAAAGTGTATCTTTTTCATATAATAACTTCTTTTCCTCTGGGTAGATACCCAGTAGTGCGATTGCGGGATCAAATGGTAGATCTACTTTTAGTTCTTTAGGGAATCTCCACACTGTTTTCCATAGTGGTTGTACTAGTTTACAACCCACCAACAGTGTAAAAGTGTTCCCTTTTCACCACAAAAAAAAACATCTTTTATTTTTTAATTCTGGCCATTCTTGTGGGTAAGGTGGTATCACAGGGTGGTTTGGATTTGCCTTGCCCTGGTAACTATGTTGAGCATTTTTTCATGTTTCTTGGCCATTTGTGTATCTTCTCTTGAGAATTGTGTATTCATTGTCCTTAGCCCACTTTTTGACAGAACTGCTTTTTTCTTGCTTATTTGATTTCCTTGTAGATTCTGGATGGCTTTGGTGTAGTTTTCTTCACTTTTTGCTTGGGGTTGATAATTTTTGAATCTGCATGTTTATAGTTTTCATCATGATTGATCATTATTCCTTTAACTATTTTTTCTGTTCTCCTACGCCTTTAAGGCCTACAGTTATATATCTATTACATCACTTGAAGTTTACTCATAGTCCACTGATGCTCTTTTCTTAATATCTTCCTTGTGTTTTACTTTCTAAAGTTATTATGTCGTCAAGCACATTAATATGTACTTCTGCAGTGTCTAAACCATTGCTAATCCCATCCTATGTGCTTTCACTGAAGACATTATTGTTTCCATCTTTATAAAAATTCAATTTGAGTTTCTTTCTACATCTTCCCTGTCTCTACTTAACTTTTTGAAAACATGGAATGTTATAACTTTATAATAAATTTTTCTGCGAATTCTAACATCTGGGTCAGTTTTAATTATATGTGTATTCTCCCATGTGACTCATATAGGAGAAGTTTCCTGCTTCTTTGTGTGTCTGGTAATCTTTGATTAGCTGTCTGACATTGAAAAGTTTGTCTTTTTCAGTGTGGGACATTTTTGTATTCCTCTAAATATTCTTGAATTTTGTTCTGTGATGCTGTTAAATTTCTTACAAACAACTTGATTTTTTTTCAGTCTTGCAACTATGATTTGGTAGGCATGTCTAGACCAGTGCTATGTCTAGGGCCAGTCATTCCTTGCAACAGAGGTAAGACCTTACCAAGTACTCTACCCAACACCCAACGGGTTGAGTTTTCTAGCATTGTTGATTGAAGCAGTCAGAGTCCCCAGTCCTGTATGAGCATTCAGTACTATTTCCTCTAATCTTTTCAAATGGTTCTTTTCCTAGCTCCAAGTAGTTTCCTCGCATATCTGCGTTGGTCTGTATGTACTCTGTTGAATAGTTAAGGGGAACCTTCTATAATTCTTCAGGGTTCTCTCACTTAGAGCTTTATATACTCTGGTACTCTATACTCCAAATGCTTTGGTCCTCCTTGATGCTTTGTTCAATCTCCTTAACTCAGAGAGTCTTCTGAGCTTCTCCTCCCCATGCTACACCTGAAAATGTCCTCAAAACAGTAAGCTGAGCTGTTAGAGGACTCATCTTGTTTTTTCTTCATCTCTCAAGGATCTCTGTGCTTGGTTGCCTGAAAAAAAAAAACATTACTTTGTTTATTTTGTTTTTGTTTGTTTTTTGTTGTTGTTTCAAGCAGAAAAGCCAGTCTAGCTTCTGTTATTCCTAAAGAAGAGCACTCTGTTAATATATAATTTAAGACTGATGTACACAGAAGGCAAAAAATTTGAAGCACGATGTTTACTGAGTAAATGGTAGTTTGATGCTTTCTATTAAGTAGTTTTTTAAGCTTTCAGAAAGCTTATTTGCAACTTTTATCTCCCTGGACCAAAGTTTCCTAAAACAATAAAGCTATGTTAATAAAGGTAAAGTCCTGTTAAGGTAAGCAGTAAGCCGGTGGTGTGAGTATAGAGAAGTTTCTGTTTCTCAGTGTCCCCCTTGTCATCCTAAACTGAAGGACAGACTATTAACAATGCCAAGAGTATAATTGCTCCACATCTTCACCACTATTTGAGGTGTCTGATTACATATCAAGTCCTGGGCATGGTTGCATGAACTTCCATGAAATGGGAGGGATAATGTTATAATCACTTCTTTAAAGTATTTTTCCTGCTAATTCTAACATCTGGTTTTCCTGATCTTTTTGCTGGATGACTATTTGTTGGATCATTTTAAGGTCAGCAGCTACACAATATTTAAGACTCTGGAGATGACACACATGCACTCTGCGGCGCAGACGAACACTAATGAAAAGGGTTGTGATCAGATCTGTAGTCTGCTTCAGCAAGGAGCCAAGAGTGACCTGAGTAAACAAAGAGAGGAGATCCCATTCTCCATCTGAAGAGCTGGCAAAATCAAATACAGGATTATTAATAAACTAAGTAATGTTATCATTGATGTGTTTGTTTTCTACATCATTTTCTTAATATCAAAGATTCCAGCACGGTCTTCACAGATATACATACAACAGTCTTATTCTCTGACCTGTTTCATGAACTTCCTCATAAAGCCTTTCTGGAGCCTCGATGGACTATGACCAGTATCTTAAGTAACAGGGAATTCCATTTTACTGGGAATGCACTGCTAGTCACTAAATCATGGCATGAAAGACTTTCCTTAATTTCTGGGCCTCTTGTAAAGTTAAAATGAAAAGAGAAAATAATCCAGAATTTCTCTTGAGTTATTAGTTTTTATTCTTAAATCAAGGTCCAGTTTTTCTCCTTCTTAAATTATCAAATGATCTACTCTCCCAGAAGAGAAATTGATCAAAATGAATATTCAGTTCTGATCAACTATTTCTGAAGACGAGCACCAGCTTACCAAAGTAGCAAGTTCCAATCCAGCTTGTAATAGCCAGTATGCTTTTGTGCCATAAATCCAATACCAGTCAATAGGGAGAATGATATATTTTTGGCAAAAACATTCCACAGGATTATTAAATAGTGTTGGGCTGTTTTAATGATACTTTAATAACAGTTCAGTGCTAGGAAATATATTTTTTAATATCAAAATGAGTAGGTAATTCTAAAGCAAACTAAGTTATGTGTCTTACTTGTAAGATCCATTAAAGGAATACACACCTTGTACTCCCTAGTTCTCTTCTACATTATATTTCTGTGAAAGTTCAGTTATCAGAGCTAATCAAAGCTAGCTCCCATGAAAGATTCCCAAGTCCTGTGTTGGCGGTGATATGAACTTCCTTTTCTAGTATGACAAGATAAGGTTTTTTTTAGATTTCTAGTTTTTGTTATATTTGACAACTAAAATAAAATCTCCTAAATGGTTGAGTCCTGTTAGTTCATTAATTAGCTAGACCCATAAAGCCAATTAATTTTAAGAAGCTGGTGCTAAGGGAAACTGAATAGCTCCAAAGAAAAATGCATAAAAATCCACCCGTCAGTTTAGTTGTATGCTTTAGCCAGCTCACAAGTGAATTGCAGCCAGATGTGGTGCCCAGACAAAAAAGTGAGTAAGAATGCAAGCAGCAATATTAACAATTGGGTCTCATGTGTGACATAGATCAAGGTAGCTTTAAACTAACAAGAGAAGACCATAGCTAGAAGAATAAAGAACAAAAGAATACAGATCAAAGTGATGCTAGTTTTATATTTTGATATAGCCATTATAAGGAGTATGTATTAGTATCCAATAGCAGTTTTAATTTGCATTTTTCTGAAGAAAAAAAAAAAGAATCTACAGCTATGTCCCCCCTGTTGGGGGTGGGGTTGGGGGTTTGTGTTTAGCTATTTATATCTACTTTAGCTGTAAAAGAAGAAAAAAAAAGAATACAGATTAAAGCATGACTATCTGTAGCACTATTCCGTGGATATCAGGTAGAAACTGTCCACATCTCATGTAGTCATTAACTTAGTTCAAAGTTCTTAGGTGGAAGTTGTCTCCTTCTGAAAATTATCTGTTTCTGGAGGGTTCTAAAAAGCTTCAACTTGAGATCTTTAATAAAAAAAAAAATCTTCTAGTGAATTGAAGATAGTTTTTTACTCTGTAATGGAAACACATGAATCCAATAATTGAATTTTACTCTTAGAATTTTACTACTGTGATAGTTGTTAATAGCCCTTGATAGTATCCTTTCCACTGGAGCTTGGGAGCTGTCTTTCTCTGGTGTCTCCTTCAGAAGACCAGGTATTTGAATTCTAAGTAACATAAAGAATGTTGAGGAGGACATTGAGAAAAGGCTGCTTGCACTTGTTGATACAATGGGAGGTACTACAAAACTTCCAGCAATAGTTGGCCACATCTACCTGCAACCGCGTGGTGTCTAAGACTGGAAGTGGTATCACAGACATATGAGCCTACCTGTCACTAATCCATGGGGACAGAATCAATGAGTCCTAGAAAGAGGTGACCTTGTCACTAAAGCCTTGTGTCTTACAAGTTCTAGAATCCCTGAAAATTTTGTTAATTTGAGTTTTAGAATTTTCCTTGTTCTTTCTTCCTTTCCTGGAGATCGGAGATAATGTAGACAGTAAAGTTTCCGAGTGAGGCCAGAGCTTTCTGAAGCTCTTTGTTACTAGTCCCAGTAAAGTGCAATCCCTTGTTACTTAAGAGATTGGTCATAATACCCAAAGTCAGAAACACAAAATCAAGTCATTTTTTGCTATTATGAGAGTTGTAGCATTTCAGGAAAAAAAGGCATCAGTCCATCTTAAGAATATTCAGACGATTTTCAAGATCCATGGGTTCTTCCTCTGGAGATTCAGCCAACTGGGGATGAATATATCAAGGAAAAGAAAACATACAAATAGTTGTATCTGTACTGAACATGTACAGACGTTTTTTCCTGTGATTATTCTCTAGACAGTACAGTATAACACCTATTCATATGGCATTTACATTCTATTAGGCATTATAAGTAATCTAAAGATGATTGAAAGTATACGAGAGGGTGAGCAGAGGTTATATGTATATGTTACACCATTTTATTTACGGGACTTGAGCAGTTACGGATGTGGGTACTCATGGGGGTCCCAGAACCAAGCCCCGTCAGCCTTGAGCCTTCATACTATTCCATTTTGTGTGAACTTGATCTTCAATTATAACAGCCTTACAGTACTCAAACATTCTTTAATTTGCTGACCATTCTTAACTGGGGCTCCCACAAAAGTCAAAAGCTCTCTTTGTTTCCGAGACAGTGGACTTTGCTAAAAGCATAGACAGTCCTACTGTACATATTAACCTTTTTATCTCTTCGGCCAGTCTGGGCAGATTTTTGGCTCTGTCAAGGCATCTTTTTCCAGGAGTGAAATGAGATTTGTTTCAGTTTAACTTACCTGATACTATCCTACTTCAGTCTTAATCTATGACCCATCAACAATCAGTCTGCATTTTCTAAAGGAGCTTCTAGTAAATTTATTAGGAGTATGGATAGTTCACAAGCAGAGGTTCAGGTTTCCCCTTCTTTGAGGTAACAGAAGAAGAGTAGTAGAATTTAAAAGATTCATGAATGTTAAGTATATGAGGGGTAAAGAGTGCCAGGCGAGGTAAGCCTACTTGCTGAGCAATGTTGTGAATTTTTAATGAGCAACTAAGATTGTGCAACATGATTGACCAAAAAAATCACAGAAGACCCCAACATCAAGTCGGCAACGTGTCCACTAGCTTAGCTGTGCGGGTGCTGCTTGTAGACGATATGCACAGGTTCTTGCTACTGAGTCATAAAAGCTGTTGGTCACTGATGACTTCCCTGGGCTGAGTCAGAACACAAAGGTCTTGTCTCTTAAGTAAAAAGTGTGCAGAGAGGATTAGGTGAGCAGAGTGGGGCTGTTAAATGGCTAACTTGAACTCACACAAAGAAAACTTGTTCATGTTTAGGCTTCTGGGAAGGAGGTCTGGTCACCAAGAATTTGGTTAAGTCACAGAGTGGTGTGACAATTTCAGAAAAGTTAGGAACCCACTGTCTGCAGTAACAAGTGAGACCCAGAAACGTCTTCATTGTCTCTTAGTTAGTGGCCTGAGCAAATTTTGAAGGCTCTGTAGTCTGTGCTAAGTAAGAGATTTAGCTGCTTCGGATAAAGCATGTCCCAGATAATGAAGTTTTTTGTGACAAAATTGTAGCTTCTCTTTGGAAACATGCTGCCCCTTCTAAACTAAAACAGTAAGTAGAGATGCAATCAGTCTTAAAGCTTACCTCATCTTTTGAACACAACAAAAGGTCACCTACATATTGGATAAGAATAGAATTACAGGGAAAGTTAGGGTCATAGTTAAGGTCATGGTTAAGGAAAAGTAGGCGATGCCTTAGTAAATCCTTGGAGCACAGCAAACTAAAGATTCAGCTAATTTTCCCAGGAGAAAGCACATATTTGCTACGTAGATATAAAGGAACATGAAAGCAAGGAAAACACAAACAGAAAATATACGTTCTCAGTAGTCACCACAGACAAAACCAGCATTTGCGTTTTGTTCTGCAGGGAAGGAGGGAACAACCATTCTATTTATGGTCCTGAGGTCCCAAACAAGTCTGCTTCCCCGCCCAGTATTGTTGTGCCTTGGTTTGTTTGTATTTGGTTTTGTTTCTGTTTGTTGTTGCTTGTAGTGTTTACTAGGAGGGGT